TGGGAAAAAGTGCTGGGATTGAGGAGAGAAGGGCTGGGCCACTGAGTAGACCTCTTGGACCCCCGAGGCTGGCCCAGGCCGGGGCGGGAGCCCAGGTGGCAGCATCACCAGACTGGGAACCCTGCAGTCCCCCTGCCTGGGCGCCGTGAGGTTCAGTGAGGCCCCCCGGCCTGCAAAGAGCACATCCCCTCCCAGGCAGCAGAGGGCTGCTGACAGCATCTCATGCAAAGCGACATTCCCAGGTCCGGGGTCAGAACACGACTGACCATGCAGCTGGGCAGGTGGAAGCCCCGGATGCCTGCGATGGGTGAGGGGGTCTTTGAGGCCTTCTGACTCCCAGCCACTGTCTGCACTGGCCTAGATCTAAGCCAGGACAGAAGGAGAACTGGGCCTCAAACTCCCGCCTCAGCCTGCACCCCCAGCCTCGCTGGCCCGGCCACCCCAGGCAGGGAAGGCCCAGGTGCGAGGCCAGGGGACGCTTGGCGCTCAGAAGCACAGCTGAGGGTCTTTCGCCCTATGTAAGTGAGGGTGGGAGGAAAACGCCACGAGTGGCCATGTGACTCCTGCTAAAAGTAACACCATCCCACATCAGCCCCAGTGCTGCGCATGGTCACAGGTGACAGGAGACACTGGTGCCTGAGCCCGCGGGGACCCTCACGTCTGCTCACCAGCGTGCTAAACACCTGGGCAGGCGTCACCGTCTCCTGGGCCCGCGTCCGCCTTCCCTGGCCGCGCTGACTGTCCCGCCTGACCTCACGGTGAACCTGACAGTGTCTGGGCCCTAACCATGGCCAGCGTCAGCCACGCCAGCGGCAGGGTGCCAGGGACCTCGGCCTGCTGAGACTTTTCAGAGGTGCAGCTTTGGCCTCAGTGTACCCGGAGAGGCTGGGGGTGCAGGCTGAGGCGGGAGTTTGAGGCCCAGTTCTCCTTCTGTCCTGGCTTAGATCTAGGCCAGTCCAGACAGTGGCTGGGAGGCAGGCCTGAAGTCAGACAGGCTGCTACAGCCCCAGACTTGGCCTGGAAAGCGCATCGTGGTTTCAGACAAGACCCTCCATCCTCTGGGCCCTGGCCCACCTGCCCACTGAGAGGTGGCGAAGTGCACCCAGGGCTGCCCGCTCTGGCCATCTGGAGTGACCGGGGCCTTGCTTTGCAGCAGGGTGAGAAGCTGGGAGGCTTGGCTGGTGAATGAGCCAATCCCAGGCCACCACTGAGCCCCACCCCCAGCAGTCCTCAAGGCACCTGCTCCTTGGCTACAAAACCACCGTCACCCTGAAAACTTTGTTGACTCAAAACTCAGCCACAGTGAAAACCAAGACCTGCCTGTGCCCCGCGGATGCCCCGGGTGGTGGCCCACCCTCCTGCCGGGGAGCAAGGTGACGGCCACAATGAGGCAGTGTATGTCCTACCCAGACTCCATCCCTGAGAGCCCATCCACGCTGACCTCCACGGTGCATCCCACGCCAGCCCTGCAGCTGCCCTGTGCCCACCGTGCCCTGGGTAGGGTCCAGTCCAGCCTCTCCTGGAAGTTCAGGCTCCCTGGAAGCCCAGCTCCCACGGAGGAGTGCTGGAGGCCAGGAGGCCCGTCATCCTAGGTGAAACGGCTGCTTTGGGACAGTCCCCCTCCACACGCTCTCCCAGGGAAGGGCTGCCCACGTGGTTGGGCACAGGTCTGCGTGGGTAACAAAGCTCACACTGTCCGCGTGGCCTCAGGATGGTGGCTAAAGACATCAGTCAGCACCTCAGCCCTGGACTCTGGGAGATTTAGGAATGGAGCCCCTGAAAGTCAGGGTTTTCCATCAGACCAGCCAGGCCTCAGCTGCACCCAGCCAACTGTCCGCCTGCCCCACCCCGTGTCCTGGTCTCCCAGCAGGAGCAATGGCCCCCTTCCCCCTGGCTGTACTGCGCAGGTATCTGCTCCTAAACCCTCCTGTGAGTGGGAGGTCCCTGGTCGGGCCCTGAAGACAGAGACAAAGTGGGGGCAGGGCGGGGAGCAGCCCACAGCCAAGGCCTGGCTTGTAAGGGGTCTAGAGCTGCCCCGGCCTCGGGGACCACATCTGAGATGCTCTTCACAGGGCGGAGCTCCCCGTGGGTCAGGCCGAGGGCTGCGTCCCATCGCGTCCACTCCCCTCAACCCCTCCCGGTGTCTCTGAGCCTCCCACTGGGCCCACAACCCCGTCTCAGGCTATGCTTCCAGGAACCGACGGCCTAAGATGGCGATGAGAGTACTTGGCACACACCTGCTTGTCAGTACTGCTGTTCCCTCCAGGACAGACGCACCAGGCCGGTCAGAGGCCACGGGGCCTGCCAGGGGTCCAGCTGTGGGAACCAGCCTGCCCACGTGTGCCGGGAGCAGTGGTTTCAGGGGGACACCTCTCCCCGGTCAGTCCCTCATGAGACTTCCTCTTACGATCACACGGGGACAGAACATGCTTCCCCAAGGCACGTGTGTGCTTCCCCTCCTCAGACAAGAAGACAGCCCGAGACCCCCGCTCCCTCTCCCGCCTGGCCCTTCAAGGCTGGCTCACCGGCACGCCCCCTTTCAATGCGTCTCCCTTTTTAAGTCCAATTTGGTGGCTTGGTGGAAAGGGCTCAGTATGTTGAGTTGATATCATCCTGTGCACAGAAAGGTTGCCGGTTCGATTTCTAGTCAGGTCACATGCCTGGGTTGCGGGTTTGATCCCTGGTCAGGGCTTGTAAGGAAGGCAACCGATGGATGTTTCTCTCTCCCCCTTTCTCTAAGCATGTCCTCAGATAAGAATAAATAACTAAGTAAATGAATGAAATCCTATTTGCGGGGTCTCTCTGTTGCAGATTTTGGGTGTAGCAAGCCCAACCTGAAGTCAGGGTGATCGGAACCAGTTCCCCAGCCTGGCCTACGCTTCCTGGAGCCGCAGCAACTCTGCTGGGAGCTGCTGGGCCCGGGGCTCTGGCCAAGCGGAGGCATTTCCTCCCC